GGAGAGAGAGAGAGAGAGAGAGCGATGCACCACAAAAGCCTCGCTAAAACGATTTATGCATTCCTATATAACTGATTTTGGACGAGTCTACTTACGAATAGTCCCTTAACATTCAAAGTGCCCCTCCCCCCCCCCCCCCCCATTTTCGCCCCTCCCCTGGGTCGTGGACCCCACTTTGGGAAACACTTGTGTATTTCTTTTTTAAGTTTTCAGTACAAAGACCGAGTACGCAAAAATCAGAAAGAGCTGGACGAACATCTACTCTTAGCTAGATGTCAGCAAGGACACGAAATCATCACAAAAAACTGAAATCTAGAATTATTCTAAAAGAAAACTGTCGTCTGAAACTAAAAGTCATGCGTTGTCTTCTTTTATTTCTATATCAACAAATATTATCACCAGTTTTTCATATAAGAAGCTGTCAAAACAAAACAAATGATCGCTAGAATGCTTCAATTATAAAAAGAACAGTACGGAAAAAGAAATGCTTCGTACAGAGCGTTTGTTAACAGAAATAATAACAGATCAATGAACATGGGACAAGGGCTTAACAGCAGTAATAATAGCTGTAGTAGGAGGAGAAGTGCTGGTAGGAGTAAGAGTAGAGTAGCAGCAATAACAATAGTAGTTGTGGAGGTTGAGTAGTAGCAGTGGCAGCAGCAACAGTATTAGTAGTAATAATGTAAGTAATAGTAGTAGCAGTAGTGGTAGTAGTAGCAGCAGCAGCAGCAACACCACCACTAAAACAAGAACAGATCAATAATTTATTGCCATATCTGCAGGTGAAATCTTTAATTTCCCCCAAACGCAAGTTGGACAGCGTGAAAGTAGAGACTCACATCCGATTTCGTACAGTCATTTAAAATGTGTCACCTGCAGAATAACAAGTGTAACCCTATCTGAGATGGATATCTAGACGTATTTTCGTCGTTCGAAGATATTAGTGTAGCAATACTGATGAATAAGATAGATATGGAGCACATAAATGACCATATGAAAAAGGAACAACCCAAAAGCGAACAGATGGCTGGTAAAAAATTGTTGTGAAATAGGTTGTGATATCACAAAGTCGTATATACTACTGCACCACGCAATAAGCGTCAAGACCTGATGAGTAGCTGAGGCCATTTCTTTCTGAGTCTAGCATTAGGAAATCAGAAATTGCTTTGAGAAACTAATAAATCAGGCAAGGTATGGTTCTCTAGTGCGATCAGTCTTGTCTAATGAGGACGACTACCTGACGATGATGAGCTAGTGATGTATGATGAACAAGTAGTCTCTCGGTGGCTCTTGTTTAACTAATGAATCACTCGCTCAATAAATACCGGTACAAGGTCTAAATAAATCCTACTCAACCCTTTGAAGACAGTAACCAACAAGGTCCGTACCTGAAACGCATGTAAGGTTCAAGTATGCACTGCTAGCACACAATACCAGCACAAAGCCCGAACAGTTCTCCCTAGTCTCTACAGCTAGACAGAACACAATACATCTTTGTATTCTATGTCCTGATGGCTGCTACAAGCACCTTTTGCCGGTCGCGCAGAATGCGTCTTCCACTGATGGCTGTGACCATCCTCTGGCAACTATCTATCCCACAGAGACCGCCATCCAAGGGGTTAAGGTAGTCGCGCCTAAGACACCTCGCCATCTCCTCCTCACACTGGTTCCAACATAGTTGCCGAAGTCAACAAACGTGACGAGACACAGATGCACAAATGCTGACCTCACACGGACATGCCCTTACTCCGTCCCTAGACTCCCTTTTCGAATACACCAAATTCATGGAGACCGTGCAGACGCTCCAATAAAATAGAACACATGATTAAAACGTCACAGAACAGGAACAAGCGTCCAAACTCGTCCACTGACTGACGCCCAATGACTCAGCCTAAAGAGGCGACGATGTAAAGTTCTGGGAAGCAAAGGTGGCGGGCATGGTGTTGACCACATCGGCCATGAAGTGCAAATTAGCCAACAACAATATGAGCCTAAAATCATATGGTCGATAAATTTGTTTATAAAGTAAACAGACAGACCGACAGACAAACAGACAGACAGACAGACAGACAGACAGACAGACAGACAGACAGACAGACAGACAGACAGACAGACAGACAGACAGACAGACAGACAGACAGACAGACAGACAGACAGACAGACAGACAGACAGACAGACAGACAGACAGACAGACAGACAGACAGACAGACAGACAGACAGACAGGGAGTAGTGTGTATATAGGAAAGGTAAAGGACCCTTTTCCACGCCTAAAGGCATACTGAACATATAGGGTTAGACCTATATTTTATAGACCAAAATGCACATGATGGGTGATGTGATCAGCATCATGTCGGCCGCCTTTACTTCCCATGACTTTACTTGCTACCCACTTAAGACTGGGTCGACCTGGAAGCCAAGATCATTTTTGAAACCGCTCCATCAGGACCCGAACCCAAGACCTTCCGATCCGCAGACGAGCGTTTAGCCTCTACACCACCATGGCTCGTATTGGCTATATAGCGCTAGACTTACATTTAATGGACAATGCAGCATTCGGCGGATGTTAAAATCAGCATCAAACAGGCCGCCTTTATGTCCCAAGACTCTGCTTGGTACCCATTTAAGGACTGGAAGCAGAGGTCGTTTTTCCTAGTGCGGATTTAAACCCACATTCTTGGAGTCTGCATGCTAGCTGCTAGTCGCTACACCATGGTTTATGAAGCAGGTGTCCTTCTCTCACCTAAAATTTAATCAGATATTGTTCACCTATGTTACATTGTTACCCCTGTGTATCACAAATGATTCCATCAGTATATGCTGACTAACTATGTAACATTGACTTTTATGGTACATCTGGCTTATGAAAATGTTTTACTGTCTAAGAAAAGATTCTAAATTGATTTAATGATCTTGTTGTTGAACTCAAAGATCTTTCTTTATAAGCGGACAATATTTCCATGTAGATCATTTCCAGATTCGAGATTTCTCAATTCTACCCAGATTCAAGGTTGTTGAAATTAAGCTGACACTCTACGACAATTTGAGACAAGCAGGGTCTAACTGAAAATGGTATTATTTCATCATCATCATCATTTTCAGCGTGGTCGTCATAATCATCGTTATCATCATCATGAGCATCACAATGATCATCACCTTCAGTATTTAATCTTCATATCGATGGACATCGTCCACCTCCACCCCATCGTCATTTTTTATCAGTTGGATTAAGACTGCCCATATCATCGCCACTTTTGTAGTGCTCACCATTCATTGTCACAATGATAGACAACATCATAACCGTCATCGCAGTTAATATCGTTACAATTATAGATAGCATCACTTCTCTTTGTCGTCATTGTCGTAATGATCGATATCATCTTTATTATCATCAGACATTTAAACGGGAAACAAAGGGGATTGTGAAAACAAAGACTTTCAGAAGAAACCATAGGACGAACGTTGAAGAGAGTGGCTCAACTTGGACTGGATTGGATTCAGCTAATGGTACTGGAACAATTGTACCAAACAGAACAGAATGGAAAAACAAACTGCAAGATCTATGTTACGTGCAAAGACACGACAGAAACGCGACGAAGATGATGGTGATTATGATTTTATGACTGTGATGATGATGGTCATGATGATGGGGATGATAGTGGTGGTGGTGATGATGATGAGGACGATTGTAATGATAATCATGATGATGAGTGAGGGCAATGGTGGTGATGGTGATGATGGTGATGATGAGTGGTCATAATGATAGGGATGAAGGTGGTAGTGATGACGTTGATGATAATGATGATCATGATGATGATTGTGATGGTAATTATAATGATGAGTGATGGCAATGGTGATGATGATGATAATGAACACAACGATGAGAATGCTATACTGTTATTTGTTTTGTTCTCTTCCACAGCTGCCAGTTGTCCTTCTGCTTGCGATGACTGCCCAGTCTGGTATGTGCAGCTGGTTATTCTCTTATTGTGCTTGAACTCATTTACTCTCATTGCAGTGGCTTACCGGACAGAACTCGATATACGATCCTGCCACCTTTGCCTCCCAGGTTATTTCCGTATGGTTATTTTTTGGTCGACCTGATAGAAAAGCTCGGTTCAGACAGATCTGCCTTGGTCCTGATTCAGACCCAGCACACTAGGAAGGTAAACTGACTGACGTTCAGCCCCACCAGAACCGCATGACGAGCCATAAACATCCGGTCACGCAGAGTACCACCATTCGGACGAGAATTACACCAGCGCAAGTCCCAGAAATCCCGTTGAAGCGTAGGTTATATCACGACCCTCGACGACATATAAGTGGTAAAACACAAAATCAGGTATAGACAACATCAAATAAAGAAAATTGGGCAGAGAGAAAATGAAAGCGAAAGCGGCAAAATGGAATCCTTGGCAGACTATGGAGACCAAGCAGAGAAACTATGCACTGTCACCAACACAGATTTGCAGAAGTCTCAAGGCAATGAGACTGAGAAAAGAATTACAATTAATCCATATCTTATCTTCCGTGTATTTATAACTACGTGGGGCGTATGCGTGTGTTAATCTTGTCCTGCCTAGAACTAGTCTGATGCTCACACTTCTTTCTGATATGTAGTCTGTTTCTAGTATAACTTTTGATGCGTCTGGAGCAATGATGAAACCCACTCCGTGTCTGTTGTCTCATTTAGCTGAGAGCTGCCTATGCTTCTGCCCCGAAGAAGTTAAAATGGTACATTGGTTTTCTTTAGTAGCATACAGAAGTGTAGTCAATGAGCATGTTTTTTTTATCGGTGGTATAGGATGCTTGACTCATAATATTTTTTAGCAATTGATACTAAGTGTGTGATGTGGTGAACATCACGCCGGCCGCCATTACTTCCCATGTAGTTACCCGGTGTCTGTTTGGGATGACTTTGCTTATTTCACTTTAAATACATACTTACGTTATCTGTTGCAAAAATGTACGTTTAACAATTGTGATCTGATCAGTTTTCAGCTACTGTGAGGTCGGGTGGGTAGAGCATAAAGGATTCTGCTATTCCTTTAGTCCTGAAGTTGCTAGTTGGTTAGATGCAGCGGTGAGTGAATTGTCTAGATCTAATGTTTTTTAAAAAGTCGGTGACAAAAAGTACAGTAAATGAACTTGTTGATACATTTGGCCCATTCAGCCTATAATGATATTCCTATTTATACTACAAACCAAAAATGTATATATGTCTGTCTATCACAAGAACTCCTTAACGGTGAAAGCAATGACGTAACATTTGCACATGTAAGTTTGGCTACTATCTCTAGTTCAACTGTGATATTTTAAACTGTCAACTTTTAACGTAATTATTGCAATGTCAATTTTAATTTGCAGTCGAAATAAACATGCCTCGGGTGCAATCACAGGTTGGATATGACTGACAAGCTCTTCTCGCACCGACAGCTGTGTGTGGGAGTTTGAACAGCGACCGATCCCTAAATATTGTTTATCATTGTTGTTGATAAACAAGAGATACCGATCCCTTAACATTATTTATCATTGTAAATGATGAACAAGAGATACAAAATAGTGTACAAAGTCGAGCCCTTAAATAAATTTGCAGTAACAGGATTGATAAAATTAATTACAATGAATAAAGAATGAGTCTGAAGCTATCAAGAGCAAAACGAGGTTGTGAAGCTCTAGTATCTTGATGGTCCAATGAACAATAGCTGGGTGATTCGATCAACATCATTACCTCGTGGGGGTCTTTACCTCGTAACTTTCTGATCTACTGATTTAATAATCGACATTATAGAACATTGGGCATACCTAAAGGTGCTCAGTCTTTCGCAGCAAATGTCTTAAGGTGTACATGCTAGCTGCTCATGTAGCACACTGATTATAAACGTCGTTCTGTGGTCCCTCCGTGCCAGACCAACACCCAGTTCTTCAGCCTCCGTGCCAGACCAACACCCAGGTCCTCAGCCTCCGTGCCAGACCAACACCCAATTCCTCAACCTCCGTGCCAGACAAACACCGAGTTCCTCAGCCTCCGTGCCAGACCAACACCCAGGTCCTCAGCCTCCGTGCCAGACAAACACCGAGTTCCTCAGCCTCCGTGCCAGACCAACACCCAATTCCTCAGCCTCCGTGCCAGACCACCACCTAGTTCTTCAGCCCTTGTGCCAGACAAACACCCAGTTCTTCAGCCTCCGTGCCAGACCAAAACCCAATTCCTCAACCTCCGTGCCAGACAAACACCGAGTTCCTCAGCCTCCGTGCCAGACCAACACCCAATTCCTCAGCCTCCGTGCCAGACCAACACCCAAGTCCTCAGCCTCCGTGCCAGACCAACACCCAGGTCCTCAGCCTCCGTGCCAGACCAACACCCAGTTCTTCAGCCTCCGTGCCAGACCAACACCAAGTTCCTCAGCCTCCGTGCCAGACCAACACCAAGTTCCTCAGCCTCCGTGCCAGACCAACACCCAGGTCCTCAGCCTCCATGCCTGATCGACACCTAATTCCTCGTTCCCACGTTTTTCAGCATTCATTCATTCACAAATGGTCTTCAGAATGTGGGCCAACATGGCAGCCTTGTTCAATATTTTTTTAACGTTGAAAAAAAAAATCATCTTAATGCGGATTTTCTCCCTAAATGTCTAGAGGATAGACTTCATTGCACCGGGATTTAACTTCTAGGGATCTTTCTCTTTTCGCACAATGTCTAGCCGGCTGTCGGCCTAGGCGGTAGCACAAATCAAGAACTCCATAGCTACAGCCACAGTCTGCGTGGATCTCTGCTATAATTGCACTGGTGTTGGTGTCGATGTCTAGGGTTTGATTCTCCACACATGTAACACATGCACGTGAGACGCACTGTCTTTACAAAAGGTCCGGGGTACTATGAAAAGCTTGCTTTAAGCAGACTCAAGCTGGGCTGTGCAAATTCAACATATCCTTTCTTTGTCGCAGTAAACACTTGAAATGATGAATGAACAATCTCTGTCGCTAAGTTTACTCCAGCAACATAGGTCTCTACAATAGAACAGACATAAAACTGAACGAATAGTAGTAAGTGAATCAGCGAGCTTCACCATATAACAAACACAAACAAAACTTGAACGTTGCGGCTATGGGGCCTTATTCAGCACATACATAAAATAGACAATACTACACAAATACACAGTATAATTTATCTTTGTATCTCGTGGCAGCAGGGTCGATAAGAATCAGACTTGTGTAGGGTTCTAATCACCTTAGGTTGTGACTGGCCAGCTTGTGCTGCAGAATCAGAAGTTCAACAAACGATTCATCCCTTCCAGATTATATGATTATCTTTACAGATGGCTCTTTGTTGAGAGGTATAGGACGTGCATGGGAGTTCATAGCAAACACGAATGAACGTCGCTTAGTGTAACAAAGCCATATGATATCACAACGTCTAGTTTAAGAATAGAGGTAGAAGCAGTCACTGCTGCATTTCGCTGGCTTGAGAATCAACTGCACACACATGTCGTTTTTGTAACTGACTCACAGAGCAAGTTAAGAACGATGGAGACAGGTATGTTCCTTGCAGAGTACCAAGCTGCTCTTCAGAGGTCCTGGGTAGTTAACGTCCTCTGGGTGTTCCCCAGGTACTGTCGGTGTGTTGATACACGAGCAGGCAGTGAGACTGTCCGGTTCTGCACCACTTGAGGGTGAACTGATATATAAAAAGTTAGATGTTATAAGGGCCCTTTGTGAGCGAGTGAACAGTTCGGTGGCACAAAATGATCACGACTGTCTGAGGAGAATTGCGCTGCGGGGAGTAACCAGGGGATCTGGCAGACGCTCAACACTCCAGGGAAATGCGAGACGGATGTACAATCAGACAGTTACTGGTGCCATCGGAATCAAAACCCTTTGCTTGCTGCTGAAAATTGGGATGGAGATGGAGCGCAGAGTGTTCCGAGTGCTTTATATATATATTTATATATCAATCCATTCATGTATCAGTCCTTCCGTCCTTGCAAAGATCCATCCATCTATTTATCCATCTATCTATCCATCCATCCACCCATCTATCCATCAATTCCATCCATCCTCACATCTATCCATCGATCCAGTCTATCTGGTCTTTGCAGTCTATCGAGTCTGTCTGTCAACCTGCTTGTCTGTTTGCCTGACTATCTGCCTAACTCCCGCAGAGCAAAGCATAAACTCCACAGCTCAAGCAACAGCTCACTTTTTTGTTATCTCTCTTCCCTTTTGTCTATATGCAAGTATATCATCCGCAACAGTCAGTATCCTTCCAACTCCTGGTGCTTCTAGGCTTGCAATCTTGCTCGTATACACGTTAAAGAGCACAGACGAGATGGCGGATCCCTGTAGAAGTCCTGGGGCCAAACTGCATGGTTCAGAGGTCCATGAGCCCAGTCGGAGAGCAACCCGACGTGAACACAGGACAGCTGCAACCCAATTCACCAGCCATGGATTGACCTCCTTTTCCTTTAGTGCAGTCATTAAGATGTATCTCACTCTGTTATAAGCATCCTCGAGATCCAGTCCTACCGCCATAGTTTCATGTCTGTTATGGAACTCTTCATAGACGTCAAAAGCAAAGGTGGCTGGCTGCATTTGCTCATGTGTCCTTTCCTGGCCTGTAGCTTCCCAGACCTCTTGGGAGAACCTTCCCCCTTTCCAAAAATGCTTGCAGCTTTACAGCAATTATCTTCTCCAAGACCTTCCCAAATGTGGTTTGTAAGATGATGATTCCCAAGCCACTGAGAATTGAATGATCTTTAAAAGGTTTTTGGTAATGGGATTAGATAACTGTGTACCCAGTCCTGCGGTATTGATGCTGTCTTAATGCTCTCGGCCATCTCTGCCATCAATCAAAGCCTTCATGTGGCCATACCTGACCCCATTAGGCCCTGGTTCAGAAAAGAAATAATCAATTGCAAAGTATTTTGCTCATGACTTAGTGCTTTTTCCACGGTATATATATATATACATATATATATATATATATATATATATATATATATATATATATATATATATATATATATGTATGTGTGTGTGTGTGTGTGTGTGTGTGTATTTAGAGAGAGAGAGAGAGAAAGAGAGAGAAAGAAAGAGAGAGAGAGAGAGAAGCAATTGCAACGTATTTTGCTTTTGATTTACTGCTTTTATTCACAGTCAGTTTGCCAGGTATACGGCGGCCGGCTGGTCCAGATTGAAAGCCAAGAGAAAAATGACTTTATAGCCGCGCAAATGGCACATAAACACGGTGGGTTGAGAATAAATTTGTATTAGCTAAGATGTTTGTAAACATTTATAATCACATGTCAAGATATGAGATGTAACTAAAACTGAGACCTTCCTTCCTACCTCCCTGCTTCGTTCTCATCCTCCTCCTCCTTCTAGCTACCTTTTCAAGCGTATTTTCGAATATAGAGGCAGAAAAGTACAAGGGGGGGGGGGGGGGAGTAGTGTATGAGGCGCAAAACCATATCAGTGGTTTGTCGTAAATGATTTATATGAAAAGTTTCCGTTTTAGCCTTTGTTTAAATACCTCATTTTATCTCTTTTTGTTATACTAAGTGAGTCACCGTGGTGTAGCTGCTCGTAGCTCGCTTGCGGATCGGGAGGTCGTTGGTTCAGATTGTAAGTGAGCCGGACTTTCTATTTGTTTAAAGACCTTCACTTCAAAGCCTTAAGTGGGTAGTGAGCAAAGTCCGGGTCCACATCACCCCCCAAGCGCTGATTGATCTGTACAATTTAAGTCTAGCCCTATATGCCCTCTTTGCCCAGTATGCCCGAAGGCGTGGACAAGTGTCCTATACTTGCTTTACTTATTACATCAGCTGTTTCTTAGAGTCTCAGTCTCAACACAAACCAATATAATATACAGAATGAGCAAAACGATCAAAAAATCAACAGATGTTCCTTTTTTCGCCCAGTTGAGGACGCCTGGATAGGCGGTACCTGCAGATACCACCCCTCCATCTGGGAATGGGTACCAAGCTTGAAACCAATTCGTGGCTACCTCAATTGGTTTAAAGGAGAACCTAACAGTCGTAAGTGTGTTTCATTTCCTCTGGCAGATTAACTGCTGCCGCCCTTCTGAACCCAAGCGATGGTGACTGACTTGCAAGACCTTACTTGCAAGCACGTACCCAGAGCATTTTTGACGTGAACAAGAGAGCATATGTTGCCCGAACATCACCTCCGTGTCTCTGCATGCTACACCGAAAGGTAACACCAGTAGGTATAGAACAAAGCGTGCTGCAGAAGGTGCAAGATCAAAAGAGGAGTTCTCTCTCCGCCTGTCGAATATTGTCTTCTAGACCGGCTGCCAACTAAGTCCAGGGTGGCGTGTCCTGCCATATGGTATAAAGTTTTTGAAGATAATAAGGTCCAGAAACGGAGGAAGAAACATAACTATCAACTGGAGTTTACACAAAGAAAGAAAGAAAGAAAGAAAGAAATAAAGAAAGAAAGAAAGAAAGAAAGAAAGAAAGAAAGAAAGAAAGAAAGAAAGAAAGAAAGAAAGAAAGAAAGAAAGAAAGAAAGAAAGACAGAAAGAAAGAAAGAAAGAAAGAAAGAAAGAAAGAAAGAAAGAAAGAAAGAAAGAAAGAAAGAAAGAAAGAAAGAAAGAAAGAAAGAAAGAAAGAAAGAAAGAAAGAAGAAAGAAAAAGAAAGAAAGAAAGAAAGAAAGAAAGAAAGAAAGAAAGAAAGAAAGAAAGAAAGAAAGAAAGAAAGAAAGAAAGAAAGAAAGAAAGAAAGAAAGAAAGAAAGAAAGAAAGAAAGAAAGAAAGAAAGAAAGAAAGAAAGAAAGAAATTTACTGAGTATTAGAAGTTGTGTGCTAAGCTCAGTTTGCTGTTCAACTGTTTCGCCGGTTGTGAAAGCGCTAGATAATGATAATGACAGAGACGAGTGCAAAAGGTCCGCACGGCTCTAAAATGTGAGACGACTGTTTCTCGAGTTTAGCGAGAGTCAATAATTTGCAAAACCCATGCGTGACTAGCCGCTGAGCTGAAAGTTAGCCCGTGCCAGTCAGTGCCCCTCAGTCTGTGAAAGAGCTCGGACGTGTGTGACTTTTAGTACTAATTATGAGCATTTTTTTTTATTCTGGTGAAAGCTTAGATTGTTCATTAGAATGTGATGTATAATTCTGAATGCTCCTAGTGTATAGACTTGAGCAGAGTCGGAGATATAGATAGCTGAGCAGAAAGCTGGGTTGAGAGAGCAGTTGGGAGGAGTTTGTCTTGTGTGCAGTAGCGTGTTGGCTTTACCATGGAAACAAGACAACCGACTCCACTTATGAGTCAGTGAATATGCCCCGCCGGGAGGTTTCCCCGCTGCCAAGAGAGGCTCCTGATATCCTGCACATTTGTTTATGATATATTTGTTAGTTTTATTTTCTGAAAAACTAATTCATAAAATCAGTCTGAAGCATTTACATTCTAGGGTGCACTGGCGACACCTCTTGTTTAGCAATGAGGTACCTTCTTTACTTCTCTACCATGAACAACAGGATCAAGATCTCGAGGGCTCGTGCATGCCTCAAGATAAGCTCAGATCTGAAGCACCCTTTGCACCACATGCTCTGCAAAAAAAAGGCAATAGGCTTAATTAAAAGGGTCACATCAAGGCTGGGTAGGGCAGAGGATGACATCATTCAGGTTTGCAGCCTTACAAACATCCATCAAGGTGAGGAGTGGATTCCAGCGTCTAAGGCGCCCAATCTCACATTCTCCTGTGAAGTAAGGCTCGATAGGAATGGTCGGAAGCAGAATCCAGCTGCTGTCAATGCCGAGGTATGCGCGCTTATTAGTGACAAGTCAGATGAGACAGATGTGGTGATCTTCACAGACGGGTCCGTTATACGAGGACATACGAGTGAATGGGCATTTACAGCTCGCTGAACAGTTCAGGAAGCCAGCGGTGCCATCTCCATGGCCACCAGCAGCATGACGATGGAGGCGATGGTTGTAATACAGGCTTTCATGTGGCTGGGATCACAGGATTATTCCCGCGTGTATGTGCTGAGTGATTCTTTGAGCATGATTCGGCGGGTCAAGGCGGGTTGGTTACGCAGACAGTGGATTGAGTTGTTGCAAAATTCTCCTGTTACTTTCATATACGTCCCAAGGGAATGCAGGCGTTGTTGGTAATGAGAGAGCTGATAGACTGGCAGGTGCTGCATTAACTGAAGACGGCTGGCTCATGGATCACGCAGACATTGTCATTGCCCTTAGAAAGATAAGACGTTCTGAGGATTCCGAAAACAACGTGTCCACATCACTGCTAAGAATGCGCGAATTGGGTGTAAAGATCGGCACAGCCAAGAATGAGAAGCACACTGGACGTACACGAAGTCTTATTAACCAACATAGAACTGGCACTAATAACCACACGACGCTAATGAATATGTTGAGAGGGGAATCTGAACGCCTATGAATGTGTCCGGAGTGTTGTAAAGATAATCTAACTCATATCTCATAACTCCTTCGAAAGCCTGAATCCGTGTTTCCATTTCCACAGCGAGAGACCAAATCTCACATCTGTATCAGAAAACAGACAACACCAGCATCCTGTCTCAGAAGCTGAAATATTTTGGCTAGATAAAACGCCACGACTGACTCGGAAACAAATAACAGCAGACGGCATGGTACCAGGAATGAGAGGCTGTGGCCGACCACCGCGAAGATAGGTACAGAATATAATTTACTCCTTGACTATAAAGTGCACGAGGCGGGAGAGCTGGCAAGAGACGAGTTTCTTCCAGGCAGACCATGATGAAAGCGACGGTCTGCAATGGACCTGCTACATGATGAAGAAGATGGTCTTTTGTTTACAAATCCTCATAATTTCCAATTAAACAGGTGCTGATGTTTGTTTTTCAGCGGCGAATTTCTTTGATCTTTGTCTCACTAATCATTTGTATACCCCCTACAACAGCAATGTGCAGTAATTGACACATGTCATTTAATTTTGATGACATGCTTAACAAGCATTACGGTGGCACATGACATTTCCACTTCACTTTTAGAAAAAGTACAAAAAAGCGCGTCTTAGTTTGTTGAACGGATTACCTCCAGAAAAGCGGCTAATGTTATGTTTGGCTAGTTCCAGTCAATCTTTTACTGTTAACATGCTAAATATATGTTTTGAATCAGCGCCTTTTTTTTTTTTTTTTTTTTACAATGCCAAATTACAATAATTTACACCTAACGTTTACTGAGTTACATTTTTTGTGTGTGATGTGGTAAAAACTTTTGGAAGAGACTGTAACCAGCGTATACTGTACTATTCTCCCAAATCATTTTTCAGCCCAGGCCGAGCAGTGCATGCAGATCAGAAAATTACACCAGTACAAGTGGAACGACTACCCGTGTTTGTTATTGATAAGATTCATCTGCGAGAAGAAGTCAGTGGATGTCATTGTGTCTATCTGTATTTTTTTTTTTTTTTTATTAGTGTACAATCATTGTATGCATTTTTATTGTTTGTGTTTGTGCAGGGCGTAGCTCCCATTGGCCACGTGGTCAAGCCATTTGCCTGGCACTCTGACGTCATGGGTTCGTTTCAAGGAATGACTAGCTCAGGAAACGACTGAATTTCCTTTTAGTCGATAACCATAGGGATTGTTGGTACAGCTAGGCGGGTCGTTATTTTTGCGACGCCCGTTAGGCGGTTAACCGTTTTGTGTAGACAAAAAGGCAAAGCCCGGTAAAGTGAGGTTGATCCCCTTCACGGCCGGTGTTCGAAACCGGGTGGTTCCCAGCGTTCACTCTTTCTCTAGGAAATGGGTACCAGAGGTGACACTCTGGGGTAAATAAAGAAACGTCGCTGTAGCTAGGGAGTTGCATGCGGACGGCGACACAGGCGGACAGTTCTGTCCGTTCTGGTGGCAGAGCAATTATGGTTTATAATTGTGTGCAATGACGCTGGTTCGCATATCCCGACTTTAACTATTAATATATGATGTGCGGATAATTAATTAGCTGTCATAGACGATTCAGAGCGCCTAAACGTTATATGACCCCCCCCCCCACCCCCGAAAATGTCTAAACACATCGTCATCAAATGAATTGATACGCATAATAAACTATAGCGGTGTTCGGGTGCCATTGCTCAATAAAAACCTGCATTTTTTGCCATTACTTTGACTTGTTGCACTGATCTATCTATCTATTGTTTCTTCACTTTTACCGGGTTGCAGCCCAGTGTGGTGGTTTAAAATATTTGTTTTGGTTGCACTGATATCATAGAAAAATGGCAACGACACAAACAGGACGAATTTTTTAAAACAAAATTTTTGGAGTGGACGAATATTTGAGTTCCTGTGTCTGTGTGTGTGTGTGTGTGTGTGTGTGTGTGTACGTGTGTGCGTACGTGTGTGCGTGTGTGTGTGTGCGTGCGTGTGTGTGTGTGTGTGCGCGCGCAGCAGCTTTTTTTTTCACTTTCCATTTTTTATTACGCCAGGCCTGCTTGGCAGGTGGTTTAGGTGTTCGAATACTTTCTAATTCGTAGGCTAACTGGTTTTGACACCGTTGTTGGTGCAATCTACAAGAGGTACCAGGCAAAGGTTTGGGAAGTAAAGTCGGCCGGTCTAATGTTTACCACATCACCCATTCAGGGCTGATTTGTTTATAAATATGGACCTAGCATCATGTACCAGATAGGCTACTGGCGCTCCTATATGTTAGTTACTTTCTGATACTATGCCACTGGTATGTAACAATTTTAAATAATGTGTCAACATTTCAGGGCAGCTGCCAAACCACCGTCTGCGGATACTCTGCTGCTCGCAGGACAAGACTCCGAGTCGCGTTGAGATCATCAGCAGGAAAAATACCTGACAGCTAAAGTAATCGATTACCAATAAAAAATATCGCTAATAATAGTTGTTGTTGCTACTACTTCTGAAGCTGCTGTAGCTGCTGCTGTTTTTCTTTTAGTAGATCGTCTCAACCGTGGATAACGACACAAAAAGAGATTGACAGAAAGGGTAAAGAAATGTAAGGTGACCTGCTTACATCAACTGCTGATTTGTTCAGAAAATGTTCACGGATAATTGAATACAATATATCTCCGATGCGTCAGTCATTGATAAGAGCCATGACGCTAGTCTGCCAGATTATGAATATTCAACAACCAAACGTAGCACACACACACACACACACACACACACACACACAAACACATACACACACACAGACACACGCACACTCACACAAATACTTTACAGAAACACCAAATAGCATTCTATACTCAGAAGGTGTCCTTAGTAAATGTTTTTCAGCTTGTTTGCTTATTGCCAATACTTCACGTCTGTATAAAAACAGAGGTTCTACATGGCACTTTAACTTTACTTTTCTCACCTCAATTGATATCTTCTTATTGTTGAGAATCGTTTGTATCTTGCTTAAAGCCACTTTTGCCACGATGATTTTTGTTGTTCTAATTTCTGCATGGCATCTGGTACCAGATGTTGTGAATGTTTCAAGGTACCGTGTAACTCCAATATTCTTTCACTCCAATATTCATCTTGTGTGTGTGTGTGTGTGTGTGTGTGTGTGTGTGTGTGTGTGTGTGTAATAATCCCTGGAAAAGTCACTATTCGTCCTTCCTCCGACGTGACGGTCGAGTTATGGGCCGGTTCCACGTGTTTAAAATAAGTAGAGACTGTCGACGGGCACAACTGCACTTTGTCATCAAGAACTGGCACCCAATCATTGCTATAGCTAATCGACGTATCCACTCATTTTATGACGACATGTGTGGACACTTTCTGAAAATGAGGTGAAAAGACAGACAGAGGGAGAGAGTGAGAGAGAGAGAGAGAGAGAGAGAGAGAGAGAGAGAGAGAGAGAGAGAGAGAGAAGGGAGAGAGGGAACGAGAGAGAGAGAGAGAACAAAACAAATAACATTAGGTGACTTCTGAAGAAAAAAAACAATACCGGTGATTAATCTGGAAATGCTAATGAATCACCAGTAAGAAAAACAGTGTTAAAGCGCTATGTAGAACCTGTATTCTTATATATATATATATATATGAAACATTGACAGTAAGCAAACAAGCTGAAAAACATTCACTCGCAGCAGAGATGTGCTTTCTGAGAACAATTGGCTGATGTCATAATGGAGAATGAATCCGAATTAGACCTTTTCTGTCGCCTGTAAGGGCCTTGCAAATTAAATGTTGTGTGTTCCGTGACCCTAAAGCTGGGAGAAAATGAACCAAGGTTATTTAAGATTTTCATATTATTCAAGCGTACAGGCCAACTGGTATTGAAGAAATAGAGGAGAAAATGAGCGGCAGGCATAAAGTTGTGTTAGTAATAAAGTAAAGGACCTTCTCTTTTTAACGTTTAGCACATTGGGTATATGAGACTAGATTCATTTAGTTATAGACCAATCGACACTCAGACGATGATGTTGTCAACGTCACGCAGACTGCCTTTATTTCCCAGGACATTACCTGGTACCCTTTTTAAGCCGGGTCGACCTTGCAGTCAAGGCAATGGCGAAGCATGCATGTAAATGCTGAAATCACTGCTTTCACTTTTGATGTAAAGTCTTTTAGTACCTGAAAGCTTTCCACTTGAAATTGCTGTATTCTTGTTTAAAGCGATCTGTCGATTCTGCCATACTACGTCGTATATTTGCTACCCAAGTATTTAAAGTGTTGAACTTTTGTTATCCATTTGAAGGGTATCAATAGACATCAATCAGTACCAGGCGCCATGGCCTATCCACAAGAAACATAACAAGGAAACTAGCCACCTTGTTATTGTCATTCATTATTAACCACCTTCTGAACTTTTCAAGTAGCTTATCAAACTCCTAGTACAAAGAATACATTTTACTGTAATGTTTCGCGTATTAAGACTGGCGTTACTGTAAACCCTTTAGGGTTATTCAGAAACCGTCTCCCTTCCGCTTTTTGACCTGTCAGGGACCTATCAGCTGTCACAATCGTTGATTGAACAATGAACTTTTATTGACATGACCGTTACGCGATTAAGGGCACACTCATTTGCCCACGTGAACTTGCTTGTACAAGCGTGTAGAACATGCATTCCACGTTTTCTAGTTACCTATCCTTTACAGGACGTTGCAGCAAAATATCCAGGTTTTTTTACTGTAGTGGTTTCTCTAGGCAAATTTACTTTCAGTAATTTGCCATTACTTTCTTGATGGCGGTCGACTCTCCCTACAACTGTGGAAACCAAAGCAAGACGGTCTGCTGTCAAACAGCTTGAAGTTTCCCTGTCGCCCCAGCTGTACAGGGTAGAGATATGTTTTCTCCCTGCTCAGAAGAAGCATTTTCTTCTTCATTAATGGCAAACACTTCTGTCTGTCCATTATCAGAGTGCACATGACTTGCAGAAATGTCCTGTTTACTCATTGTCTTCAAGATCGTCAAGAACTTAAAAGAACTATCCTCTCATCTGTTACATCCTCCCTGGTCGGGCTTTCATAGGCCAAGTCCAGTGGAGGCGAATAAGGGGATTTGTTGCTGCCATCGCAGTCAACTCCTTTGAATGCAAAGTCAAAACTAGCCCTTTGTGTGTGGTATGCAGCCGCATTAAGGGAAATAGGGGAAACAGGTTCAGTGTTATACCCTACATTAGTCTGCTTTAATTCCTCTTCTTGCTTAAAGGGACCAACGGAAATATTGGAGTTGGGTAAGGTCTTTCCTGCGTCCTCATTAATGGCTGGTGTGCCAGTCGAACTGCTATGTCTACGGTTACAACAGTTATCACGCTTGTGAGTAATGCTTGTAAAACGAATCGCTAGGTAATGTTATGTAATATTACACAAAGCTGGGTTTCTTTGTCTGGGCTAAGGACTGGTAAATAAATTCATGTGGTTTTAGTAATTTCTCCGGCTGAGGGCATAGTAAATATAATTCTATGTCTCTCTATAAACAGAAGAAATTATTACGCGTACTAACTTCTGAAAACACTGAGGTCGTTTCATCACAGGCCCTCCGTTAAAGTTGGTCGTAGTCAGCTAAGACCAATGCTTCGACACTCAGTGATTTCCAAGAATGTTGGTACACCCTGTCAGCTCTATAATTGTCCCAGTATTTCCTCCGCGAGTATGCCTTGTGGAATCGTGATGTCCTGCATTGGTATACAGTCACCAGTTGTCCCTTTTTCCAGGCTTAATCCTAAGTCCTAGAATCAAGCGGGTATTCCGAGCAGCCGCTCAGTAATAATCGGTTAATCTGGAGGTTTCTTCGTCCACTGGATAAAAAAAGATCCCTGCTTCGTCAACGGGATTCCTCGACGCCGTTGACTGAAAATCTCTGACCATTTCCTTACTTCGCCACGCCCTATCTGCATAGGAAGGGCCTGAAGTGGTCTCCGAAAAGGATGAGTTGCAGTCAGGTTGGATCCTCTTTTCCTGCGTCCA